CTTTTGTGGGGACACCAGACCTTGAGCAGAAACCCACTTCCCCTTCGGCCTGGGAGCAGGCATCTATGTAATGTTTACTGAAAACAATTCAGTGCTTTAGGGCTCAGATAGGGCTTGCTCACTGAAATACCATGCCTTTCACATCCTCTATGGCTAGATGCCTCTTCCTGTTTCCCTGTGGTGTCTCCCCGATTCTGGGGCCGGAGATTAGACCACCAGCCAGGAGGAAAGAATGGTATGTAGATGAATGGCAGAAGTCCTTAAAAAGGGAAGCTCCTTTTTCTTAGAGGGACTTCTCCTGAGACTTCTCCTGAGACTTCTCTCTCCTAAGCGGACTGGGGTCTCCTCCTAAGCTGACTTGGGAAACATAAAGTTTTCTTAAAGCAACCGACCGGTCTCTGTGTCTTCTATCCCGACCACCTCGCTACATTCTCGGATGCAGGCCGCACAGCAGGTGCGACACTCTTTAAAACCAGCAAGCTGCACACCCAGCTCTAAGGGGTAGCCAAGGCAATTTAGACTCCCTCAAATGCCTCTGGCTATTCTCTCTCTACCTCCTGGAGAGATGGCCACTTGGCACCCTTGGAGCAGTCCAGTTGGGGGATTTCATTGACAATACCAAGTGATGTGGTTAAAATACCAGAGGATGCCAGCTCAGTGACCTTGGCCGGAGCTTATCTTTAATCCCAGCACTCAGGAGGCAGAGGAAGGGGGAAGCTCTGTGAGTTCCAGGTCAGCCTCTTCTACAGAGTGAGTTCCAGGACAGCTAGGGCTGTAATATAGAGAAACCTTGTCTTGGGGGAGGGGGGATCAGAGGGCCAAGTCAGATGAATGCAACCCTACTACATGCAACTGAGGAAGATTGTCCCACACAGACTAAAGTTAAATTTTTGAGCAGTTTCTGGGCTCACCGAGGGACACCTTATTTCCATTTTCTGCTCAGCATATCATAGACGAGGGGAATTTCAGACCTGGCTGGTTTGAAACAGGGATGGAATTTGTATTAAATATATTTTAATATAGGCTTAAGGGTTAGGAGAAAGTACTCAGAAACATATCCACGTACTGGACATGTGCTTCCCAAGGGAGAGTCACAATTAATTGTCTTAGTATTAGCCTTATATATCATTTTAGTGGCTCTTTAGGTTACATTTCAAAAGGCTGCCAAGAAACCTTTCTTCTTCCATCATCCTCTCCCCCCCATGAGATTATAGGGTGGTCCCAGATGCCTTAGATGAAATTATGAGTTCCAGGACAGTCAAGAGAAACCCTGTATCAACCACTCCCCCCAAAAAGATTGCACAAGGAAGTTACTGGGTGGTGGCATACACCTTTAATCCCAGCACTCAGGAGGCAAAGGCAGGCCAGCCTGGTGTTCAGAGCAAATTCCAGGACAGCCAGAGATACAGACTGGAGAGACTCTGTTTGAAAACAACCAAAAAGTAAGAAATAAATTGGATGAGGGCTTAGTACATGTCCCTTTCCCTGTGAGGTTTCTGGTGAGATTCCTTGAAAACTGCAGATTTGTAGGTAGGAAAAGAGAAAGGCCATAAGCAGTTGTTGAATATGCTAGAATTCTTTTCTCCCCAGTTAAATTTGTTCTCTGACAGTTTCACACATATGCATAATGCATCTGAGACCCTCCTAACCCCACGTCCTGAATCTCTTTCTCTTGTTCACATTTTTTCCTCCTGTTTTGTGATCTGCTGAGTTTAACCAGGGCTGTGTGACCATGGGCTCAGAGCCTGGTAGACTCGGCCATCAGTACACAACTGAAGACAGTGACTCCCTTTTCCTAGGTTCTGTCAACAGGCAAAAGTTTAACAGTAAGGTTTGGGTCCTTATGGACCCCTCCTCTGACTGTCTATTGACAGGACCAGTCTTGTGTGGACCCAGGAAGGCAAATGCAGTTGTGAGTTCACCTCTACAAGGGTTGTATGAGTCTAGAGGACGGCGTTCCACAGTTCTTCATTCTTTCAGTTCTTGCAAGATTTCAAGCTGCCCTCTTCCTCTGAAACATTCCCTGAGCCATAGGAGGTGGTGTGAATTGTACCAGAATTCCTGATTCCCTGATAGTGAGAGGCTTCAACCAGACTGCATAGGCATACCTCTCTCTCTCTCTCTCCCTCTCCCCCCAGGGTTTCAGTTTCTCTGTGTATCCCTGGCTGTCCTGGAACTCACTCTGTAGACCAGGCTGGCCTTTAACTCACAGAGATCTACCTGCTTCTGCCTCCTGAGTGCTGGCTGGGATTAAAAACATGTGTCACCACCATCTGGCTTGTTAGGTCTTTCTACCTCCGGCTACTTTTTCTTTGTCCCTATGCTATCTTTTCATTAGAAGGGGCTCTTAGGGCTTACAGCAGTAGTTCTCAATTATATTTACATTATAATTCATCACAGTAACAAAATTACAGTTCTGAAGTAGCAAGGAAATAATTTTATGGCTGGGGCTCACCACAACATGAGGAACTGTGTTAAGGGCCGAAGGGTTAGGAAGGTTGAGAACCATTGGTTCAGAGGTTCTCAGTCCTTCCTAGTGAGCAGTAGGGCCATTCTCCCTGAAGATCAAGGTGAAGGCCGTGTGCACAGCTGACTGTTCTTTCTCTGAGCACCCATAGCTATTCCCCCATGACTTTTTGTTTGTTTGTTTGTTTGTTTTTGCTTGTGTGGAGACAAGGCCTCACTGTGTAGCCTAGGCTGGTCTCGAACTCAGAGAGACCTCCCTTCCTTAGTCTCTCCAGATTACAGTTGAGAGCCACAATACTTGACTTGCTACACATTTTGTAAATGTAGAATTCTCTGAAGCATCCTTCAGAGGTAGGATAGAAACACAGGGAAAATTATGGGAACATGATTGGGGAGAAAGGAACCCTTATCTAGGAATACAGTTGAAGCCTCTAGTCAGCAGAAAAGCAAGAATTCCAGAAAAACAAACTACTTAGGGTCTTTCTCCCTTCTTCAACCATAAACCTATGACTTTCTAGGAATCTCACAAGGAAAAACAAGTTGTAGGGACAGGCGATGTACTAAGATCTTATAGCAACCCTATTGGCTTCTGGTTTTACTTTATCAGTATATATAATGCCATCCAAGGCACCTCTGTCACTATCCTATAAACTCACTCATCAAAACAAAGACAGCACTGGAGAGACAGCTCAGTGAGAGCCCTCTCTCTCTCTCTCTCTCTCTCTCTCTCTCTCTCTCTCTCTCTCTCTCTCTCTCTCTCTCCCCAAGGTTTCTCTGTGTAGTCCTGGCTGTCCTGGGACTCTCTCTGTAGACCAGGCTGGCTTCAGACTCACAGAGATGCCTCTGCCTCCTGAGTGCTGGAGTTAAAGGCGAGTACCACCACTGCCCAGCTGAAAGCCATCTCTTAAGATGCTTAAGAAGCACTTGCTCGGGCTGGAGAGATGGCTCAGAGGTTAAGAGCACTGGCTGATCTTCCAGAGGTCCTGAGTTCAATTCCCAGCAACCACATGATGGCTCACAACCATTCGTAATGAGATCTGGTGCCCTCCTCTGACCTGCAGGGATACATGTAGACATGATACTATATACATAATAAATAAAAATTTTAAAAAAAAAGAAGCACTTGCTCTTCTTGCAGAGGACCTTGATTCAAAGTTCCCAGCAACCACAACCATCTGTAACTCTAGTTACTCCAGGGGATCCAGTACCCTCATCTGGCCTCCTCAGGCCCTATACACACAGAGAACACTACATACAAACAGATAAACATTCATATATATCAACTGAAAAAAAATTAAAAAGACAAAAGAAGGAAAGACATTTCTTTGGCACCGTTTTTGTTTTGTTTACGAGTCAGGGTTTCTCTGTGTTGTTTTGGAGGCTGTCCTGGAACTTACTCTGTAGACCAGGCTGGCCTCGAACTCACAGAGACCTTCCTGCCTATGCCTCCCAAGTGCTGGAATTAAAGGCGTGCGCCACTAATGCCTGGCTCTTTCCCATCTTTTGAGCTATAACTGGAAAGTCACCAAAATGATATATATCGACAGTGTTGGTTCAGTTGCCTGAGACTCTCCTGGATAGGCATATACCTCCACTTGACTATGACATACACTCTGCTATGCTCTTAGGAAATATACCCAGCACATGGACAAATCTTTTCCCTCTCTTTTCAACCCTCATGTTCAAGCTTTTATCAAAACATCTTTGGCAGGGCGGTGGTGGCACACTCATGCCTCCAACCCCAGCACTCAGGAGGGAGAGGCAGACGGATCTCTGTGAGTTCGAGATCAGCCTGGTCTACAAGAGCTAGTTCCAGGACAGCCTCCAAAGCCACAGAGAAACTCTGTCTTGAGAGAGAAAGAGAGAGAGAGAGAGAGAATCACCAACTTTGATTCAAACTAGCTAGTCCCCAAATTCTTTTCTTCACTGAGGCTAGGAATCTTGGTTTGGCCTAAGTTGAGGTCACTAGAAGATTTAGGGAACTCCTTGGGCTGCAGAGAGCAATAGCATTGAGTGTCACAGTCCTCTGACCACTGACACTTCCCTTTGAGAATCCTTACTTAGGTCTGCTTTGATTACATTTATTTATTCTAAGTGTGAGGAGCTCAGGAACCACAGCATGCGTGTAGAGGTCAAGGACAAGGAGTTGGTTTTCTTCTGTGATCCTGTGAGTTCTGGGGACTGAACTGGGGTCATCAGGTTGGAGGCAAGCATCTTTCTTGACACTTGCTTTTGTTATTGTTGTTGTTTTGTTTTCTTGAGGCAGGGTCTCACTCTGTAGTCCTGGCTGGCTTAGAACTCACTATGTAGCCAGGCTTGCCTCAAACTTACAGCAGTCCCCCAGCTTTAGCAAGGAGCTGTGATTATATGTATGAGGTTCTACTCCCAGCTTTGTTCTTTTGTTTTGTTTTTTGAAACAAGATTCCACTATGTAGCCTCAATTCATGAGGTCCTCCTTCCTTTACTTCCCAAGTCCTGAGAAATAAAAGCTGTCTATCCTTTCCAAGTGGCCCTATAAAGGAATCTGCTAATTCTTTCTTAAAAGAGTATCACTTATTCTTTAACAACTTCATACATCTTGTATACATTGTATCTTGACCCAAACAGGTGGGCACACCTGGGAAGGGTTTTTCTTAGTTGGATTAATTGAGTTGGGAAGACCCATCCTAAATCTGGGTCACACCTTCTGGTGGCGGTTGACATAAAAGGACATGGAAGGAGGAAGCTTTTGCTTTTGCCTGCTTGCCCTCACTCTTGATGACAAGCTCATCTGTCCTGCTGCTGAGGCATTATTTGTCCAGGCCTTCTTCTTCTCTGGGATTCCAATGTAGACCGAAAGCCAACTGAGACATTGTGAATGAAACTTCCTGAAAAGAAGCTCTCTGGCTGTAAACAAAAAAAAAGGAAAGAAAGAAAAAATAAAAACTCTTGAGACGAGTTTCTGTGTCTTCAGAGACTAATGGAGCAATTGGAATTTTGGTGCTATGGAAAGACTGGAATTTTGTAGGTTCAGAAGCTAGTTTTAGCCTTTTGGAAAAGCCGTGCCTTGCCCCACTCTGTATCCGAACTAAAACCTTATAAGAACAACAACAACAAAAACAAAACTCTGAGACGATTTAACTTAGAAGAATACCAGATTCCACCCATCTAAGAACTAAGAATGGCAGATAACATTTTAGTCCCATTGAACAGTCATGCACACCGCCCCTTTTGATTGTATCGGCCTCTTTGACGTACCCACCAATGCCTTTGAAACTTGCCTTGATTTACGACTTTTTATAAAAACCCATGAAACTGCTCCCATGTTGGAATATGGAACTTGGGGCAACCTAAATCTATGTTCCCTTGCCATGGTCATTCAAAATGGCTCCAGAATAAACTGTCCCTTACTCCCTTCAAAATGAGAGCTGTGTTTTATTGTTGTTGTCATTGTTGGTTTTTTTTTGTTTGTTTGTTTGCTTTTTTGGTTTTTTGAGACAGGGTTTCTCTATTGTTTTGGAGGCTATCCTGGAACTCACACTGTAGACCAGGCTGTCCTCGAACTCACAGAGATCCGCCTGCCTCTGCCTCTTAAGTGCTGGGATTAAAGGCTTGCACCCCAATGTCCAGCCAGAGATGTGGTTTTTATGTCAACAACATCCAGCCTTGTGAACTGAACAATTACCAGATTCTTGGCCTCTCCATCAGGAGACAGCCATTAGTGGACTAGTTGGGTCACAGTCTGTAAGCCTCTCTAATAAATCCTCTTTTTATATGTAGATGAATTCTACCAGTCCTGTTCCTCTGAAACCCGACTAATACCATCTCCTTCTTCTCCTTTTCAGTAATCCATGGACTCCAATTAGTGTGTCTCCATGTGAATGGGTGTGGGGTCTTCTACCCAGATTGAACAGGGGCAATTTACCAACGGGCGCATCCCCGAAAACAAATTACTCATCTCCTAGGAACCATTAACTGCCTCTGGCTCCTAATTAGGAATGAGGCCTCAGAAGTTTCCCCTCTGACTATGCTGGAATACTGACTGGCTTGGACATGTACAGGTAGGCACAGATGCTGTGAGTCCGTGAATACAAAAGTCACATCATGTCACATTCAGAGCACAGCATTTAAATACTCCTCCCTACCCACCAGCTCTTAACACCTTCCCTCTTCCCATGGATGTTCCCTGAGCCTTGAGAAGGTCAGGGGGGTTGATAAACTCATCACATTTAGGATACTCACTAGTCCCTTATTTTTCAGCATTGACCAGTTGGGAATCTTCTGCAATAACTGCTATCCACTGCCAAATAAACAAAATAAAACAACAAAAGCAATGGACCAAGGTCAAGAATATCACTAAGAAAGCTGCATTTGTGTGTGTGTGTGTGTGTGTGTGTGTGTGTATGTGTTGGTGAACATGTGAGTGCAGGTGCCTATGGTTCTAAAAGAAGTTGCATTCGCTGCAGCTGGAGTTACATACAGAACAGGTGCTGGGAACTGAACCCCTGTCCTTGTAAGAGTCATCTCTTTTGGGGAAAGCTGCTAATTCTTTGTTTGTTTGTTTGTTTGTTTTGTTGTTTTTGAAATAGGGTTTCTCTGTGTAATGGCCCTAGCTGTTTTGGAACTCACTCCATATACCAGGTTTACTTTGAACTCACAGAGATCTACCTGCCTCTGCCTCCTGAGTGCAGGGATTATAGGCAAGAGCCACCACTGCCCAGCTGAGGTAAATCAATTTGTAATGTAGCTTCTACCAAACCCTACACTGAGAACATGTTCAGATAGTGTTTGAAGTCTGAAGCAGCGTGTTCCCTGCTTGGCTGTAACCTGCGTACCTGATGTTTCCAAACCAAGGTCCTTAAAAAAGCGCCTCGATTTATGACGTTCTTTGTTCTATTATTACAACACCTTTAGCAGAGCTGCTGCCAGGTTAGAACGTGGGATGTGGAGTAACCAAGATCTGTGTTCCCTGGCCACAGTCACTTGTGGTTAGCTCCAGGGTAAACTACCCTTGGGTGAGAAGGTTTCTCCCTTCAACTTTATGAGCTGAGTTACAGTGTTGGCTCTGGAATCTTGTTTGTTAAACTTGTTTTTCATTCTACTCTTCTCTCTGTCCAGTAACTTTTTACTATCTACCCTAGTGTCAAAATACCTATAAAGCTGGGAAAATAACTTCAATAAGTAAACTGGGAGAGCAAGGGCTGACAGTGCTGGACAATCCTCTTGCCTCAGCCTCCCAAGCACTGGTGTGCAAAGTTGACCAACGTAGATAAATCTCTCACCCACACCCACACTCAGGGGATAGATTTTTCATTTTTCAGAAGTGGACACCTTCCAATTATTCCTGGAAGACTTTTATTTCATTCTCCCACCCCTGCTCTTGCTACTGAGATACATTTGACTTGGACTATTGGGATGGCTCAGAAGACAAAGGCACCTGATGCCAAGCCTGAAGACCCAAGTTAGATCCCCAGGATCCCCAGGTGGACAGCAAGAACTCTCACATGTTATTCTCAATTCCACCTGCACAATGGCATTTTTTAAAAATGTAATTAAAATTTACCTCCAAGGAACATATTTGTGCAGACTGCAATCAATATAAATGATACCTAATGTTTAGGCCTACTGTGTGACAGGAGGAAATAGTGGAGGCTATGTCAAAGTAGAAATTGCATGTCCTGTCTAAAGTGGCCGCCACATCCCTATACCTGACACCTGCTGCCATATGGTACAAGAGCAGCCATAACCTATTTGTCAAAAGGAGTTAAGTAGAAGCTGGCCATAGTGATGCTGATATAACAGAAACTTGAATTAATGATGTAGAATCAACTTAAAGTAATAGAATTAATGTTATATACTTCATAGAATTAAGTCACAAGATGAATTAAGCTACAAAATCAGTAGTCTGCTAACCAGGCCTGTGAGAGACAAGCAAAATTTAGGCTGCAGTGATGTAAACGTTTACTTACTGGGATTGCCCAGCCATTAGGCTCCATTCACATAACAAAGGAGGCATCCTGACTTACAACCAGCCAGCCCTTACGTCCATCCCCAAATCAAAGACCTTGCCTCTAAGGGAAACTCTAGGGACATCCCTGGGTCACAACCCATGAAGTCCTGGCCTGCCATAGAGTCCCCAGTTCTCTTCTTGAGGCACGCATATTTCTGCCAGGATGGGAAAGAGAGTTAAGGATGACAGCCTAGCCGGGCGTTGGTGGCACACACCTTTAATCCCAGCACTTGGGGGGGGGGGGCAGAGGCAGGCGGATCTCTGTGAGTTCGAGGCCAGCCTGGTCTACAAAGTGAGTTCCAGGACAGCCTCCAAAGCTACAGAGAAACCCTGTCTCGAAAAAAAACCAAAAAAAAAAAAAAAAAAAAAAAAAAGGATGACAGCCTATGTGGAAATCATAAACCTAACATGTTAGAGAAATATTGTATTCATGGCTGGCTCCTCTCTGAGTATTAGCCAAAGCTGGACTTGAACTATTATTAAAGAGCTGTTCCTTTATTAATCTCACGTTAAGCATGTAGAGTGAGTCTCACTGGAAAGGCATATTATTTCTACGACAGTGTATAATACGAGTTTTGAGGAGACTGAGGCAAGAGGATCTTGATTTGGAGGCCAGTTTAGACTATGTAACAAGTTCCAGGACAGTTTGGGTCCCATAGTGAACCCCTGTCTCAAAAACAGAGGAAGAGAAAGAGAGAGGAAATAAGTGTGTGTGTGTGTGTGTGTGTGTGTGTGTGTCCACTATCTTCATAAACCACAGAAGTTATGGTAGCCTTCACAAGATGAAGCCAGTCAAAATTCCAGCATAGATGGGGGCTTATGAAGGTCACCCATGGCCAAGGAGCTATGGACAATTGATGCTGCCTAAGGATAACGCACTAGCACTGTTCTTGATGAATGCACGTGGGTACGGTTAGGTCACCTGTGTGCGTTAGTGGATGTCCCACAAGTACAGACACGCAGGCAGCACTAATAACTTAGTGAGTTACTGAAAAATAAACACAAGCTGGGTGTGGCGCTGCACGACTTTATCCAGGACTTGGGAGGCAGAAGCAGGTGATGCTCTGGGAGTTCCAGGCCAGCCAGGGTTAAATAATGAGAACTTGTTTCAAAAATTAATTCCAACACACTGGAAGCAAAGGCAGCAGATCTCTGAGTTTGAGGCCAGTCTGATCTACAGGGAGAGTTCCAGAAGAGCTACACAGAGAAACCCTGCCTTGAAAAACAAAACAAAATACCTGCTCCCCAAGAAAACAACAAAAATTGTATACATACATGAAATTGTCAAAGAATAAATGTATTATTTTGCGTGTTTCTTGTGGGTACAGGTAACAGATTACCTGATACTCATCCCTGGATGGATTTGGGGTGACGTGTGGCCAACAGTGCTATAAACACCTCTCTTGTCAGGACTTGCTGATCTGCTTGGACCTGCTGCTTGGAAACTGTTCAATACTGAAGCTCCCCCACCTGCTTCTACTAGATGAAGAGGATGGAGTGTGGTAGGCTATTGTTTTTATGTAATTATTGTTGTTTTTTTTTTTCAACTCAGTACCGAATAAAAAGGCGAAAAGTCTGCTCAGAGCATTCTCTGTCCTAAGAAACTTTCCCATGCCTCCCAGGAGAGTGCTAAGCTTACATTCTCAGTGCACTCAGTTTGCAGAGGGAGCGCTGGATGGAATAAAGTAGCCCAACCGGGACTCCTTGCTCCTTCTCACTGCGGGGATTTTAAAATGCAGGCGCCACCATTTACTAGCTGATGTTTAAGCAATGATAATTTCCTTTTGCTCTGGTTTCTAGATCTGTAAAACATTCCCAGAGCGCTTGCAGTAGGCAGAGGGAGAGCAGGATAGAACAAGGTAGCCTAACATGGGCTCCTAAAGCGGGACATTAAAGAGTTGGTGTTAATTAGTATTATTTAGCAAAGCCAAAAAGTCCTGAGTTACACAGCAAAGCTCATGTCCCTAAAGGAACATACACGCCAGCCATGATTTTCATAGCACCATCAGATCCGATCTGGGCATAAACTAAATTTTAAAAGAGAAAAACGAACAGGTATTTTTTTTTAACAGGGGAGCTGTATCATTTCCTTGAGTGAATGTGTAATTACATATTTCCACAGCTCAGTTTGAATTTCCTTCTGAGCTAGCTTAACATGAAAACAAAACACACACACACAATTTTATCGAAGGAAACATGGGAAGTTGCACCAGTTTTGAGGGCACAAACCCTGCCCTGGTAAGGCTGAGAAACCACAGCTCACATCTTGGAGCACGCCCCTGGTTTCCCTCCCATCCAGAACATTTAACTGAAAAGGTGTCTACACAGTCGAGGCAGTAAACACTGATATCCCACATGCCAGAGTCCGCCATACAACTCTTTCTGCGCAGCTCAGGGTGAGCCACTGGCTTTGTTCTCTGCTCACAGAGCAAGGCTTTGGAGGCCATCTTGGAAACAGGAGACCTGCCGGTGCCTCGGCGGGGGCTGGTAGTAACCAGGCAACGGAGGCGCACCCTGTGCCGCGCAGCCGCAGTCCGCTGCGCTCGCGCTGGCCCGCTGCGTGGGCGGAGCTGACGGGGCAAGCGAGGGCGGAAAATTACCTCTGGTTTTTCTTAAAGGCGCAGGGTCCCGTCTTGCTCAAGGCCCCAGAGTATGCTCCGTCTGCGAAGCAAGTTTGCGATGCACCGTCCACCTTGCTTTTCCTCTGCGAATGAGAGTTTCGTTCATCTTCTCAGAGGAAATAAAATCCAATTTAAAATTGAATTCCCTGGGTAGTCTTAAGTTTGTAAGTGGGCAAACGGTAGAATAAATAGGTTTCCTCAAAAGTCGAGTTTGGGGTTGGGGGGGATGAGCCAAATGAAACGAAACAACCACCAAGTGAACCCTAAAATATCGAGTGGCAAAGAAAGAGAGTTAATGAACTCAGGAAGGGAACAGAAGAAGCACCCACGAATCAAGTCAGGACTGTGTGGCAAGTTTAAAAACTGGAAGGGTCTGACGCATGTAAAATCCATTTTCACAGACGACTGACAGATTATAGTACATTAAAAATTAGCAGAAAAACAAGATGCCTGTTAAAGAAGTAAAGCGGGGTCAGAAAGCACCCTCCCTTAGAAGGTCACTTTTTATAGTCGATAAAACGAGACCTTTTGCTCTGCGTTTTAGAAAAAAAAAAAAAAGACAGTTCTTTAGAGTGTATGCGTGTTGGTACAGGGCATTTGTACAAACGGTGAGCTTGGAGGACCTTGCAGGGAAGCCGGCCGGTCCCCGTCTAGGTCCTGGGGATTGGACTCAGGTCACCAGGCTTAGCAACAATCACCTTTACCCTGTGAGCCATCTCTCCGGCCTCCACCCTGCTTCTTATCAAGGAAATTTCCTTCCAATTAGCAGCTTTCACGATTTACAAGCTAAGGAGTGATTCATAATAGTCCTGTTTATCTCAAGGAATAAACACACTGCTCCGGTGCAGTGAAAACCTGCAGGATATATTCTGCCGCCCTGCAAGTCTCTAAAATTAATGTCTTCACCAAGAGAAGGTACACCCACTCTCTCCTACAAACCTCACCCAGCATCCTCAGCAGCACTGTGGATTCTCACCACACGTAGGAACGATGTACCTATCTTATCATGGCCATAGCAAACCAATTTCTATCACAGACTGAAGCATTTCCCCCGGCCCATGCTTCTCCGTCATGTTTAAGCCTTACTACATCTCTAGTTTAAACCCCAACAACATGGCCTTTTGGTCCTGATTGTGAAGTCTCTGAAACGTCAATGTTTACCCAGTAATTTGTAAAGGATATTTTGTTGTTTTCAGAACAGGGGAGCTGTGTGTGAAACTCGATACTAAGAAAATGTGTTGCATTGCCTAAACAGACCGCATGCATAGCCTGTGGGTTTTCAATGTGGATATTAAAGAAAGGACCACGTTATCCTAGAAGCACGGGGAGATGAAGTCCTGTGGAACAAAAAAGGTGCCGCCACCGTGGGGAGAGATTTAATGCGATGGCAACTGTCTGTGCCTTGCAAACAAAAATACATGTCCTTGCTGCTGGTGCCTGCTATGTCCTTACTTACTGCCTTCGAGTTCCATCACCACAGCTAAAGAAGAGACTGTGAAAACGCTGCTTCTTAGCCAAATGGTGTTTCTAATGTTTGCAGTCTCCTTGCAGAGAGGGTAATGTGGGATCCCAGATGCTGCCTGCTGAACCGGGCCAGTTCTGGTGTCTGGGCAGGCCAGTGTCCTCGCTACCTTTATTTTGGAGGGCTGTTTTCTATTTCAGACAGTTCTGCATGGTTCCTAATGGCCTAGAATAGTCCCCACTCTCCCGGAGAACAAACTCCAGAGAAAGGGCTGGGGAAGAGCACACACACACACACACACACACACACACACACACACACACACACACACATGACAGACACAGAATTCCAACAGAAAGTCACCAGAATCCTCCCTCTTAAATTCAATATATAAAGTGAATCAAATTGCTAAGAGATCAAATTACTATAAATTAGAATCCAATTCTGTTTAAGCTATAATGAAATTATTTATGTTTTTTTGTTTTTTGTTTTGTTTTGTTTTTTGAGACAGGGTTTTTCTGTATTGTCCTGGAACTCGTTCTGTAGACCAGGCTGGCCTCGAACTCACAGAGATCCACCTGGCTCTGCCTCCAGAGTTCTGGGACTAAAGTCGTGTGCCACCAACGCCCAGCTAGGTTTATTTTATTTTTATTTTATGTGTATGAGTATTTTGCCTGCATGTATGTCTGCACACCATGTCACCTGGTGACGGCAGAACCAGAAGACGTGTTGGATGTCCTGGAATTAGTTTTACGGATTTGTAGGCCACCATGTGAAAGGGGTGAACTGAACCCGGGTCCTCTGCAATAAGTTCTCTCTCCCTCTTTCTCTGTCTCATTAAGTTCTCTTAGCCACTGAGTCATCTTTCCAGACACTGATGGAATATTTATTTTTTAAGGAAAATGTTTAAATACAAAATGTTTAAAGGTTTTAGTTGTTTTTCATGGTGGCAAACGACTATAATCCCTATATTTGGGAGGCAGAGAGGTGGATTTCTGTAAATTTGAGGCCAGATAGATCTACAAAGTGTGTTCTAGTCCAGTCAAAGCTACCCAATGAGACCCTGTCTCAAAATACAAAACAGCAAATGCAGTCAAGGTGACTTGAGTTGTTCACGCTTAATAAACAGGTGATAAATGGTGTTGTTCAGAAGATTCTAAGAAGACTCGCTGAGTGTGAACGCAGGAAGTCCAGGTGTTGCTAGGACACCAATAAAATATTTAGCTTATTGTGAAGGTTAGTGTCCTCAGCTGGATAGGACCTGGAATCTAGAAGACGGTCCTCCAGCACACCTGTGAGGAACTAGTTAGACTTTCAGCTAGCCTGTGGTCATGCTGGTGAGTGATGATCTTGACTAGATTAACTGGGGTGGGAAGACCCAGGGTGGGGGGTGGCACCCTTTCCTGAGCTTGGGTCCTGGTTTCCTCAAAAGGAGAAAATAGGCCTATCAGATGGGTGGCTCTGCAGGTAAAGGCACTTGCAGCGAAGATCTAATAACCTGAGTCCTCTGAATCCGATCTCCAGAAGCCATGGAAATAAAGATGGAAGGAGAGAACCCAACTCCACAGAGTTGCCTCTGCTATCCAGAAGTTTACGGTGGCACATCCGCACAGATATCACACACACACACACACACACACACACACACACACACACACACACACACACACACACACACACGGAATTCCTCATAAACAGTGGGCAAGTTTTAAAGTATGACTAGTGTGTTGGTTACCTTTCTGTGGCTGTGATAAAACACAACAACCAAGGCAACTTATAGAAAGGCAGAGTTTATCTGGGGCTTATGGCTCCAGAAGGCTCGATCCATAATGGCAGAGATGGCATGGGATCATAGGGTAGACAGAGATGCTAGGACTGGGCTGAAAGGTGAGAACTCTCAGATCTTGAACTGCAAGCAGGAAGCAGAGAGCAGACTGGGGATGTCTGGGGCTTTTGAAACCTCAAAGCCTCTTCTGAGGGACACACTTCCTCCAGCAATGCCCAATCTCCTAAACATACCCAAACAGTGCCACTGACTAGGGACCAAACATTCAAACATCTGAGCCTACGGGGGACATTCTCATTCAACCGCCCACAGCTACTAATTGAGATGCACTCCTACTAAAAACAACTGCTTTTTTTGTTTACCTAAAATCCAAATTTAGCTGAGTAACAGGGGTTTTTTAAAAAGATGTATGTGTGTCTATATGTATATCATACGTATTCAGGAATGCAAGAATGCCACAAGGGGCATTGGATTCCCTGGCTGACTGGAGTTACAGGCAGTTATGAGCTGACACATAGGTACTGGGTATTGAACCTGGGTCATCTGGAGGAGCTTTAAGTGCTCTTAACTTCTGAGCCATCTCTTCAACCTAGTACATTGTGTTTTTATTTGCTAAATCCATCAATTTTCACTTGTGGGATTCTGAAAGGCAGGGGTAATTAGATTTCTCTGTGTGTATTAGACTAACAGCACTAAAGAGCTTTCAGTTCAAATTGTAAATATGACACTCAACATACAGGTATGTCGCCAGGATGAGTCATGGAGGACCTTTAAGAGCACTCAGAATTAGTTTGTCCTTTTACCACTCACACAGCATATATTTATGAAGTATCTTCTACATGCAAAGCAAACATTCTGGGAGGAGTGCCATAAGTAAATTTAAATCCTTGTCCTTGACCAGTGCTTACATTTACCAGATGGATTACTATATAAAGTAACAATCAGCATAAATGATGATTGATTGCAATTTGGTTAGAGAACTCTGAGTGTATTGGACAAAGGTCGAAGTGGGAACGGGAAGTGACTGAGCTAGTCTCAAAGGAAACTGAGCTGGCAGAGAAGTTGAGAAGGTCTTTTTTAAGTTTAAATTTTTTTTAAAGATTGATTTTATGTGTATGAGTGTTTTGTCTGCATATATGTTTTTGTTTTTGTTTTTTTTTTTTGTTTTTTGTTTTTTACAAGACAGGGTTTCTCTGTATTGTTTTGGAGGCTGTCGGTCCAGCCCGGCCTCAAACTCACAGAGATCCGCCGGCCTCTGCCTCCCGAGTGCTGGGATTAAAGGCGTGCGCCACCACCGCCTGGCTTGTCTGCATATATGTATCTGCATGATATGTATGTGTGCCTTGTGCTCATGAAGATCAGAAAAGGGCATAAGATTCCCTGGAACTGAAGTTACTGCTGACTTAAGAACAGCCTTAGTACACGTCTTTAATCCCAGCACTCGGGTGGCAGAGGCAGAAGGATCTTTGTGAGTTTGAGGCTAGCCTGGTCTATAAAGTTAGTTCCAGGACAGCCAGGGCAACTGCACAGGAAATCCCTGTCTCTAAAAAACAAAACAAAACAAAAAGCCCCCCAAAACATGACTCAGTGGTTAAGAACACTTAGTGTTTGTGCAGAAAACCTAAGTTCAACTCTCGCACCCACATATGGCTCTTTTTATATTTTTGGTTGTGAGCCTAGCCTTTAACGGCTGAGCCATCTCTCCAGCCCATGGCTCTTTTTATAACTCTAGTTCAAAAGAATCCAGTGCCTTCCTCTTACCTTCCCAGGCACCAGGGATACATGTGATAAACATACTATACCATGCAGGCAAAACACTCAAACACATAAAATTTTAAAAATCTTAAGCAAACAGGTGGATTTCTGAGTTTGAGGCCAACTTGCTTTACAGAATGGGTTCCAGGACAGCCAGGGCTACACAGAGAAACCCTGTCTTGAAACAAAATAAAACAAAACAAAACAAGGAAGGAAGGAAGGAAGGAAGGAAGGAAGGAAGGAAGGGAAAGGAAAGGAAAAATGAAAGGAAGGAAGGAAGGAAAGGAAAGGAAGGAAGGAAGGAAGGGAAAGGAAAGGAAGGAAGACAGTGAACCTTGGTAGTACATCTAAATTTCATGGGAATGCTGATATGGCAACAAATAAATAAACAAACAAACAAATAAATAAATGAAAAGAATATTGCTGTGGAATCAGACCTCTAAGGTTTTCAGGCTTTGAATTAACCATAGGTGCAGTGCTTTCCAAGAGCTAAATCTCTGCACTAGAATATTATCAACAAAATGGAAACTATTGTAGAGAAAGAATGATTACCATATGTGTAGATCTCCCATGTGTACTTGTACACACACACACACACACACACACCATAAGCATTTAACTCAGGGCCTCATGAATGCCAGACCAACCATTTAGGATTACCACTGGGATTGAACCTGGGGCTATGTGCACATATGCACATATGCTAGGCAAGTGCTCTTCCACTAAGCTATAGTTCCTGCTATTGAATGACTAGACTTAACAAAGTGAGCTTTCCATCCTTGTGAAATACAGGTTATTCCAGACATAGTAACTTGGAAAACTTTATTAAGTGACATGCATCTAGCCCAGCTCTCACTTTTGAGCTAGAGACCAGAAGATGGCTGCAAGTTTGAAGGCATCCTGGTTTACATAGGGAGTTTCAGGCCAGTCAGAACAGTGTTGTCTCAAAAATTGAATGATGGTCTAGTGATATGGCCGAGGGGGTAAGGGCACTTGCTGCCAAGCCTGGAGATCTGACCTCCAGAAACCACAAGGTGGAAGGCAAGAACCTACTCCTAATTGTCCTCTGCCTCCACACGTGTGCCATGGCATGCACACGCTCCTCCCCACCCCTCAATAAATCAACGTGGGGATTGCAGAGACAGCCGGGCAGTTAGGAGCACTGGCAGCTCTTGCAGAGAACCCAGTGGTTTGTTTTGTGTTTTTGTTTTTTCTAGACAGGGTTTCTCTGTATTGTTTTGGAGGCTGTCCTGGAACTTGCTCTGTAGACCAGGCTGAACTCAAACTCACAACCTCCTGCCTGAGTGCTGGGATTAAAGGCGTGCTCCACCAACGCCCGGTGACATCCAGTTTGATTCCCAGTTTTCACAGGGTGGCTCACAGCCACCTGTAACTCCAGTTCCTGGCTGTATGATCTCTTCTGATTGCTTGCTCCAGGCACCAGGCAAAATACTCACACAATATAATAAAATAAAGAAATATTAATTTTAAAAAATAACGGCGATGGAGAGAGGGCTCAGTGGTTAAGAGCACTGCCTGCTCTTCTAAAAGACATGGGTTCAATTCTCAGCTCCCATAGGGCAGCTCCCACTGTCTGTAATTGGGACCTGACACCCTCATGCAGACATTTAAAAAAAAATCAAAACAAATCTCTGAGGCCAGCCTGGCCTACAGAGTGAATTCCAGAACATCCAGGGCAACACAGAGAAACCCTGTCAAAAAAAAAAAAAAAAAATCAGTCAGGTGGTGGTGGCTCACATCTTTAATCCCAGAATTAGAGAGGCAGAGGCAGGCAGATCTCTGTGAGTTCGAGGGTTCAAGGCCAGCCTGGTCTACAATGTGAGTTCCAGAACAGCCAGGACTATTAGAGAACCCAGTCTCAAAAAAACAAACAAGTGTGTGTGTGTGTGTGTGTGTATGTGTGTGTGTGTGTATACATGTACGTAGTACACACACACACACACACACACACACACATATATATATATATTGTCCCACTCAAAGAGTGATCAGAATTGTTACTTTCCAAGGAAAAGAGCGTAGCATTCCCTGAAATGAATTTAAGATGCCCACACACCCTCTGGGAATTAGTATTTTATTATTCACGCCTTTGTTCTCTCATTTTGTAGCTCTGTGCTCTCTAAATCATTTTTAGAAAACAAAAGAGATTGTGCGAGCACCACGAACATATACCTAGAGGGAAAACTTCAAAACTATTAGGTCACTATCTTTGAAAAGAGCCATCTTTCCTGTCCCTGTGGATAATTAGGACAATTGAAAATCATAATTGAAAAAGAGGCACTGAAATGAAGGTAAATGGTGGTAAGAGGCCTTCAGCTGTATTAACAGAGTAAGGCAAGACCCCACACAGCAAATCTAAGTTTTCCTTTACACTTGGACAGTCTTAGAAAACTGCAAGCCTTATCACCTGTCTCCACATTGGATATTTCAACAGTAATGACTGTCTTTTATACACATCCACACATAGAATGAACTATATATAGGAATGAAAGGAAAAGACGTCTCCATGTGGTTAATAAGGTGACAGTGCAGAGTCCTTCAAAATACTCAGTTTGACGTTAACATCCCTGCCCTGTATTTCTTGGACACAGATCTACATAAAAATATACCAAGAACACATGACTTGTGCTTGTTAAAACAATAGAAGGAACAATTAGCATTTCTTGGAAGGATAAAGGCAAAATTGAAAAACTGAGATTTGAACTAGCTAGGGTGGGTTGTAGGACCATGGTCAAAGAACCCAGTTTTGTGAGGAGAATTCTAAGTGCTTGTGAGAAAACTCTAAGAAAACAAGGGTTTTGCAACCTCATTTTCTTCAGAACCACGAATTGTTCTTGGAATGTGCTTTGTCTACCCTCCCAGGTATAGCAGATAGGATTGAGTTTACTTTAGATTATTGTGACTGCCTATTTATGTTTGTAGGCCTCTATGGAAGAGTGTGTCTTTGTCACATTCATGCAGCTTGTCCAAAGATGGCTTATTGCAAGAGACTTTAGTCTGCCTCATTTGTAAGCTCCCAGATTCCATCGCCTTTAGAGAGATAAACAGTGGGTTAATGATACAATATAATCAACTGTACAGCTTGAAAGGATAATACTTTACAGTCTTCAAAAAATTCAGATACAATATAATTAACCATACAGCTTGAAATGATAATGCTTTAGAGTCTTCAAAAAATTCAGATAATTGGAAACTGTGGCTTTTTTCTCTCTTCCTCTTCCTCCTCCTCTTCTTCTTCTCCTTCTGTGTGTGTGGTTTTTGGAGACAGGTTTCTCTGTGTAACAGTCCTGGCTGTCCTGGAATCCAATTTGTAGGCCAGGCTGTCCTGGAACTCAGAGATCTGCCTGCCTCTGCCTCCCAAGTGTTAGGATTAAAGGCCTGTGCCACCACCCTCTGGCCCCTACACTGTGTTTTATAGAAATAACAACAAAATGCTCTTTGTCTCCTGTGTGGTGGGCTGAGCTGCAATCCCAGCACTAGAGAGACATTCCAGGCAGATTTCAGTCAGCTCATCTCAAGACTAGCATAGTCTGTTTAGGGAGCTGCAGGCCAACGAGGGCATCACAATGAGACCTTGTCTCAAAATAAACAAAACAAAAACAATAACAAAATAATTTTTGTACAGAAGTGCTCACATTTATTTTATAAGAACAATAACAGCCGGGCGTTGGTGGCGCATGCCTTTAATCCCAGCACTCGGGAGGCAGAGGCAGGTGGATCTCTGTGAGTTCGAGCCCAGCCTGGTCTACAAAGTGAGTTTCAGGACAGCCTCCAAAGCCACAGAGAAACCCTGTCTCGAAAAACCAAAAAAAAAAAAAAGAACAATAACAACAACAACAAAGGCAAATATGGTAGGGGATGTCTGTCAGGAGTAGAATATTGCTAAAAACTTTGTTGACATCCACTGGGCAGTGGTGGTGGTGCACGCCTTTAACCCCAGCACTCCGGAGGCAGAGGCAGGCGGATCTCTGTGAGTTGGAGACCAGCCTGGGCTACAAGAGCTAGTTCCAGGACAGCCGAGGCAACACAGAGAAACCCTGTCTCGAAAAACCAAAAATAAATAAATAAATAAAGTTGACATCCATTAATAAAAATGGCTAATAGTTAAATATATTTATCTGCTATAATACTATGTAGTAGTCCTGAAGATTCAAAATAAATTTTTTTAAAAATTTTTATGGGGAAAAGGAACTCGAGTATGCCACAGCAAGAGTGTGGAGGTCAAAGAACAAGTTTATATAGCAGGCTCTCTCGTTTTCTTCCACCTGTGTGTCTGTGCTTGAGACTTGAACTCAGGTAATCAATCCTCAGGCTTGCATTGGCAGGTGCTTTAAGAGCTGTCCCTCTGCGCTTTAAAGACTGAATTTCTATTTGAGGCCCAGACTGACCTGCAACTCAGATCATTTCTCCTGCCATCACATCCCAAGTGCTGGGACAGTAGGGTAGGTACGTGCCATCAAGCCTGATTACAAGTCATTAAGATCCGTACTGACATAAGAAAATATACATTTCACATGAAAATATGAAATGTCGACTACAAAGCTGTATTATATAACCAACCGGACGATTAGCCTCAAGGTGGTTATTCTCAGGGATGGCATGCTGGATGATTTTTTTCCTTTGTAGTTTTCATGTTCTTTTATTAAGCAAAATTTGAAATAAAACGTTTAGGTGGAGGGGGCACTGGGGGGCTGAGGATGGAGCCCACTTAGATACATCTCCAAGTCCCTGAAATGAAACATTTTCAAAACTCACTAAAAGAAGGTACCCGATTCCACACCCAGCATAGACCTTCCAAAGACAACTAAGCTATGTTGAAGACATATAGAATTATTTATTGGAAGATGGCTTCTTTAAATTTTCTTAATATCTCACTTAAAATCTGAAATACATTTTACAAATGGAAGTCTGTACTAATGAAATTTTGGAGACAAAAACTTTTAAAGTCCGAGGAACGTTGACATCTGTAGAGCTCCCTGGGATTTTCTGAACTATTCGTAGGAAAGAGAAAGCAAGCAAGCACTGCAAAGTACAGGAAGTCGGCTGGTTCGCTGCGTGTTAGGAACCGCTAGGGATAAAGCTGCATTCTTTCCTGAGGCCAGGGAGAGGAAGGGTAGAGTACAGTCCTTTTTGTTTCAGAATTCCTTTGGAACTTCCCAGCGCTTGGCGCTGATAGTGGATGGAGATCGTTAAACCGTGTTTGGTTCCTCAGAGGTTTTGAGTGCACACGGGGTACCTGTACAATACAGTTCGAAAAGAAGACATAATCTAAGGAGTGGGTGAAGGTTCCCCAATTCCTCGGTGAAAACTACACATTGGGAGCCAAGTGTTATTTAAGGGGGAGAGGTAGTATCACTTTAGATATGCCAAAGGTCCTATAAATTTGCAAACATGGGAAAGAATCTGAAACCAATAAAAAAATCTTTCAAATCCCAATTCCAAGGCAACAAATGTCTTATTCTAAATACACTATCGAATTCAGAGTAGCATGTGTTAGCTTAAAAAAAAATCACATTAGTTGTTCTCTAAAACCCATGAAAAATAAAACGGTGCGAGGATTGACTAGGGGCTTTGGGGCAAGCAGAGTTGGAAGGACTTGGGCACGAAGGGAGGCTGCAGTCTTTTCGTTGCAATTCGAGAACACTGGACAATTCTGCCTAATTTTCCTACATTCTAACACACAGCAACACATTTATTTTATTTTTTTACGTCCAAGATGGTCAACATAAACAAAATCCAAATACCCAAGTTTGGATTCTGCTATAGTAACCGCCCCTATGGGTCCCAAAGCGCCCGGAGTGAGCCGCTTCCCAGCTGAGTTCGCTCCCTAACCCTGCAGACACCCGCAGGGTCTAGGAGTCGGCTCGCCCTGATCTAATCGCTCGCCCAGGAAGAGAAAGACAAAAATACGAAGGAGGGAGCGAGAAAAGAGAAAGACAAAAATACAAAGGAGGGGAGAGAAAAGAGAAAGACAAAAATACGAAGGAGGGGAGAGAAAAGAGAAAGACAAAAATACAAAGGAGGGGAGAGAAAAGGCGCCACCACGGCCCTAAACGTGCCCTGGATCCCAGCCAGAGGTCTCGCAGCTGGAGAGCGGGCGAGCGACCGCACCCTTGACCTGCGGACATTCCGCCGCCTCCCCCCAGGCTGGCGGAAGCGGCCACGCCCACCACGCCGTGCCCCCAGGGCCCTTGCACCCCGCCCTTCCGGACGCTCGGGGACGCCAGGGCGGGGGCGACACCCTCGCCCCCACCCCCACCGCGCCGCCATCTTGTTGTTTTCTTACATTCCTCCTCCTACCCCCACCCGCGCCGCCACGTGGCGCGCGGCTACGGAAGAGAAGGCCGCACCCTAGCTTCCGGTCAGACCGGTTCTAGCCGGCTGCGGGATCCAGACGCGGGGCTGCCCCCTGGTGGCCAGTCGTGGCGCTGCGGCCACGCCTTGTCTCCGCCGCCATTTCCTGCGCGGCGCCAGGCACGTCCGCCCTCGGCCGCCCTCCTGCGGGGACGCGGGCAGCCGGGGCGAGGCTGCCCGGGTTAGGCGTGGGAACGCCCTGCATTCCGAGTCGGGAGCTGTGGTGCCGCGCGAGGCCGCCGTGGCGGGACACAGACTCGGCTTGAAAACTGCCTTGTGCCGCCCTTCTGCCCCCTCGGCGACCTGTCCTGGACTTTTCTGCCTTTTTTGTCTTCCAGGCTGCCCCGGCACCCTTTAGCGTTTCATTCCAAGCCTTGTTTCTTGGGTATGTGCGCATTCTTAGTCATCATAGATGCCTCCAGGACAGGAGTTGTCACGCCCCAGAGCCTGACCACCATGCTGGGGCTGAGGAGCCTGCATTGGAATCTAGGGCATTTGAAAACGTTCTGCTTTGCCTTTCAAAGGGGCCACTGGCTAGCATCACTATTTTAAGGGGGCTCATAGGAAAGAAACGTGAACATCGAGGTCTCCCCACACCTAAGTAAATTAAAAGCCTTGCATTTTTTGTAAACGTAATGAATGAGACCTGGCAGTTATTATGCCCCTCCAAGGGGGATTTGAGACTTACTGAAGACCCTTTATGTTCCTGGCAGCCCTTCTAATAGGAGGACAGGCTCTAACGTAGGCAATTTGTGTATTTTGGATAGGTACCCTATCTATCACATTCACAGCTTTGTGGGAAAGGAAACTAGTTCAGATTCCCCATGTGTCATGCTAGCGTGTATGAAATGTTCATGATATTTGCTGGCATTGTATATACACAAAACCTCTGCAAGGGTATCAAAAGTTTCAACATGGCTTACCTCCGGAAGAGGAGATAGGTTGCTAGGGGGAACGGGAAAGAAAGCTTTTTTTTTTTTTTTTTTGGGTAAAAGTAATTTTCCAAGTTGAACGGTATGAGTATTCCAAAGAAAATAAAGAGTTATATTCGAAACAGGGTTAAAGCTAAAACTAGAATCAAGCCCAAATGGCTCCAGATTCCATGTCTTCTGTTGACTACACATGAAAACCTATTTTAAACATAAAACGTTCACTAGATCTTGTAGTATTGTTAGCAATGAGGAAATTTAGTTCCTCTTTTAACTTCTGAACAGTAACCACCTCTAATTGTACTAGTTGTATCATTGTATGATAAATACAATGAAAACAAAACTTTTTAAGATCAGGCTTTGGGGGCTGGAGAGATGGCTCAGCGTTTAAGAGCAATGGCTGGCCCGGCATTGGTGGTACACGCCTTTAATCCAGCACTCAGGAGGCAGAAGCAGGTGGATCTCTGTGAGTTCGAGGCCAGCCTGGTCTACAGAGCGAGTTCCAGGACAGCCTCTAAAACAATACAGAGAAACCCTGTCTCGAAAAACAAAAAAGCAATGGCTGCTCCTCCATAGGACCCGGGTTCAATTCCCAGCACCCACACGACAGCTTACAACTGTCTGTGTTGTGCCCAAATTCTGAACCCCAAAATCATCAAGAGGCCCATTTCGATGCAAAAGCAAAGAGTCTTTTATTGTAGATGTTTAATGAGCTAACCCCATTAGCTCGGGCCCTTCACCAGCCACCATGGCAAATGGCTGGAGAAAGACCCCAAGCAACCTCAAGGCAGGGACCTTAAAGGGCAGCATAAGGGGAGTGTCTAGGGTTATGAAACAGTCTCAGGATTGGTGCGCTTTCCAGGTTTGGGTGACCCTCCCTGTGTTGATTGGTCAACTGGTTGTTATGGCCCATAGGCCCTCCCAGGGCAGTTGCTATGTTCCACAGGCCAGTGTTGTGCACTGTCCAGAACATATACCCAGAGCCGGAAAGCATAGCCCTGCCAGCTAACTTCTGATTGGTTCCTTGCCACAAGGAGGGCATCTGACCTTAGTGACCAGGACAGGAGCAGCAAGGTCATGTAAGTACATGTTAGCCTGTCATGGCTGCTAAAATGGGGGACAGGTCACTACATCTGTAGCTCTGGTATCCAGGGAATCTGATACCTTCATACCAATGCACATAAAGTTAAATACATTGTTTAAAAAAAATAAATAAGGCCTTGCTCACAACCCTTTGATTTCTGACACATGGTCTCATATGGTCCAGGGTCGCCTCAAACTCCAACTCTGTAGTGGTGGATGACCATGAACTTCTGACCTGGTCTCTTTACCTCCCAAAAGCTGGGATGACAGCCTGTGTCACCTCATTTAACCTTTCTTTTGTCGTTTTCTGTGTTTTAGATAAGGGTCTCATTCTGTAATGCAGACTAGCCTGGAACTCAACTGTGTAAGGTCTGACCTTAATCTCCAGGTAGTTTCCATGTCTCACTCTCAAAATGCTTGGATTACAGGTGTGAGCCATCATGCCCAATTTAGAAAATAAAGTTGGTTAACACTGTCACTGACATGTCCTCAGATGTCCATGTGGCATTTGTCCATCAAGTATGAGCTGCCGCCGGCGGCGCAGACCTTTAATCCCAGCACTCGGGAGGCAGAGGCAGGCGGATCTCTGTGAGTTTGAGGTCAGCCTGGTCTACAGAGTGAGTTCCAGGACAGCCTCCAAAGCCACACATGGAAACTCTGTCCCGGGGAGAAAAAAAAATTATGAGCTCTCCATCCTTACCTCGTGTTGCAATATTGACAAGCCTACTCCTTGCTCACATTTTTCTGCGTAGCCAATCCATAGTGATTTTTTTTTTTTGGTTTTTCGAGACAGGGTTTCTCTGTGGCTTTGGAGGCTGTCCTGGAACTCACTTGGTAGTCCAGGCTGGTCTCGAACTCACAGAGATCCTGCCTCTGCCTCCCGAGTGCTGGGATTAAAGGCGTGGGCCACCAACGCCCGGCAATCCATAGTGATTTTATTGTCTAGTTTTAGACAGGATGTGCCCTAGCTGGTTCGGTGCTTGCTTAACATGCTTGAAGGCCAGGATTTAATCCCTAGCACCACATAAATTGGATTTTCCTGCCACATGTTGAGGTGAGGGCAGGAAGATCAAGAGTTCAAGGCCAGCCTCAACTACATAGTGAGTTTGAGGACAGCCTGGGTCACTGTAAAGATAGGAAAGGAGGCAAACCAGACCTTCTATACAGCTCAAGCTGAGGGTGGCATCCAAATTGGCAGCCTCCTGCCCCCTCCTTGCTAAATGTAGAAGTATAGGCACATGGTACTACTTTTTCTGTTTTTTTTTTTTCATGGGGTTTCTCTGTGTAGCTCTGACTGTTCTGGAACTTATAAAAGTAGACCAGGCTGGCCTTGAACTCAGAGACTCACCTGTCTCTGCCTCCCAAGTGCTGGGATTAAAGGCATCAGCCAACAGCACCTGGCTCTATTTTGCTACTCTTGAGGAGGAGTTGTGAAGCAACGCAAACCCATGTGTCTTAGAATATGTTACTTACCCTCTCATTGATTCCAATACTTTTCTGTGAAAAAGAAAGTTTAAACCACTCACCTTGGGGTGGAGAAATGGTTCAGCAGTTTAAGAACACTGACTGCTTTTCCTGATAAACCCAGGTTCAAATCCCAGCACCCACACGGCAACTCACAATGTCTGTAACTTCAAGATCTGATACCCTCACACAGATACACATGCAAAACACCGATGCACATAAAATAATAAAAACAAGTTATTAAAAAAAAAAGACCCGCCTTTAATCCCAGCACTCGGGAGGCAGAGGCAGGTGGATCTCTGTGAGTTCGAGGCCGGGCTGGACCGACAGCCTCCGAAACAATACAGAGAAACCTTGTCTCATAAAACAAAGCAAAACAAAACAAAACAAAAGACCATTCATCTCACAGGCTTGTGAGGATGAATTGAGTTAATATACATGTGGATGTATCTGAGGATTCAACCAGTAGTGGAACAAATATAACTGAAATGTCATTTTCCCTAAGCAAAATGATTTAACAGCTATTTGCATACATTTGCATTGTATTAGGTGCTTATAAATAATTTATAAATGATGTAAGGCTTGTGGGTGGGTGTCTGCAGGTTGCATTTTATATTAGGAACTTGAGCATCTTGAATTTTGGCACCCGTGGGTGTGTGTAAGAAATATGTGCCCAGGAATGCCTGCAATCTCGGGACTTGGGAGATGGAGGCAGGAACATCAGAAGTTCAAGGTCATTTCTAGGTGCAGAGTAAGTTCAAGACTAACCTAGGATACTTGGAACATGGTCTCTTAAAGAGATAAAACCAGTCGGGCGTTGGTGGCGCATGCCTTTAATCCCAGCACTCGGGAGGCAGAGGCAGGCGGATCTCCATGAGTTCGAGGTCAGCCTGGTCTACAGAGTGAGTTCCAGGACAGCCTCCAAAGCAATACAGAGAAACCCTGTCTCGAAAAACCAAAAAAAAAAAAAAAAAAAAAAAAAAGAGAGAGAGAGAGATAAAACCAAACTTTCCCGGCGTGATTGAGGTTCTTGGGCTTGGCTCTCAGTATCATCATGTGTTTCCTCATATACACACAGGGAGATTTGAGTGCACATGGAGGAGATGGCCATGTGATGGCAGAGGCTGAAGCCTGTTTAAGTCACAGAAAGCCAAGTCTGGCTGCACCAGACGACACGAAGGGTGAAACACATCCTCCCCTTGGGACCTCAGAGATATGAGCCTACCACCCTAATTATACTCATGCAAGGCAGACCTTCTCCCTTTATGGCACAGTGGGCTCCCTTGGCCTAAGTTGCTGCTTTTGTTTGTTTGTTTCTTGAGCCAGGGTTTCTCTGTCCATGTTAGAGATGAGGGGTGGAGATCACAAAGATCTAGGGAGGTCTTCCTTTGACTAGTTACTGCTGCACTAAAAACAGGACCCTGCAGGGTATGTTGAAGCATGCCTTTAATCTCAGCACTCCTGAGACAGAGGTAGACAGATCTCCGTGAGTTCAAAACCAGCCTAGAGTTAGCCAAGGATACAGAAATAGACTGTGATTCATTTTTCTCCCCTGACAATCTAGTATTAGTTTTTTAATTCATGCTCTGATGCCCAGGCTGGCCTGGAACTTTCTGAACTTCCTGTCTGTCTCTGCTTCCTAAATGCTGGGATTATCAGCATGCACCACCATCCTTGATTCTTGTTAATTTTTTTTTTATAAATACTTATTGAGTTGCTTCTTCATGCTAAGTAGTTCACGGATACCATCTTCCTCAGAATCACTCCAAGGGGCCAGGCATGGCAGCACTTGTCTTTAATTCCAACACTTGGGAAGCAGAGTGTGGCGCCCATGCCACAAACGAGTCCGAGATATCTGGAAATGAAGGACAAGACATCCGGGGTGGTCCGGCTGTTTGTGCTAAGAGAATGTGTCCGCTGCCTTATTGCCAGGAGGATGCGTGTATGTATGTGCCGCGTCTGCCGTAAGCAGTGAGCAGCCTTATATGCAGACCTACAGCAC